GGTTTGAGGGAGTTCAGACTATCGTGTGTGGTGCCGATAGATCGATGATAAGTCTCTGTTTGTGGGAAGATTTCCCAGTGACAATACTGATGGGGTTTGTCCGCCATGTGGTGAAAGGAGGGGACTGGAAGGGCCCTCTGCCACTTCCTTGGCTATGAGTGTGTCAACCACTGTAGGATTTTGCTGTGCGGATTGTAAATTAGGACATTCCAGGATTCCGGAAGGCATGTGTATGAGACCTGTGTGGAATCCTTCTGATAGACACGAGATAATGAATTCTACCAAATGTCTAGATGGATGATGTGACAGTAATGTCGTAAGTACAGAAATGTTTATCGATGTTAAGTATTGTGTACGATACATTTTATTAGGACACATGGTTTTAGCATGTGCCCTGAAACATTTTTTTTTCCAATTTGACAATTTTTATTTTGTCATATTTAAGAGGGTAGGGGTACAGAAAGTAAAAAAAGGGGGGGGGGAAAGGTTCCCATCAAATTACAGTTATACAGTAATGCTTTTCATTAGATCGGTCATTGACGTAACAATCATGGTATTGCACTTGAACATTATTCCTTCATAACAAACAGGTCTTTGCGGTGCAGGATTATATACCAAGGCCGTCTACTAACAGTTGTTCATGAAGTCCGTCAAGGGACATCTCTGCTGTCATCTATTGTTGCGCTAACATGGTTCATGCATCATGTGGCGATCCCTTGCCGTAGCGCTTATACCTGTGTCAGGTTATGCCGTGTGCATGTGTAGCGTCTTCCCTCCTGCCTTAGTGGTTCCCCTACCTCTAGGCCGTTAAGAGCTGGTTTAGTGTCCCTTTGAGTGTTCCAGAGAACTTTGCGCCTCTAAGGGTACCTTGTCTCTTGTTCTGTTCCCTGCTCGGGAGCTGTATGGCCTGTTTCTCTCTTGGGGGGGGGAGTGGAAGGTTGGCTCGTTCATTAGTCTGTGTCCAACTGTGCCTGTGATGACGGGAGTGGTGTGCCCCTGTTGTCTACCTGTCGAAGAGGCATTCTGGAGGGGGCGGGGGGTAACTGGGATAACAAACTAACTAACTCGTGTGTCTTCGTTGGTTTGGTTTATGTTGTCTGTTCGGATCTATTTTGTCCTGTTTGTTGGCCCCTCGTCAGTTGCTAGGGTCTCTGCCTGCTGTGTACGTGGCCCAGAGTGTTTTCGCTGTGGCGTTTCTTTTACCCACTTTTGTTTGGCTCCACATTATTCCTTCATAATCTAAGGTTGTCGTAACCATTGATACTACCTCTGCTGGGGGTGGGATTTTTGGGGTTTTCCATTGTTTTGCTAGTGAGGTGGAGGCTGACGTTAGTATTAGAAATATTAGTTTGGTGATGCATTGTTGCGTGCCTTTAGGTAGAAGTTGGAGTAGGAATGTTTCTGCATTGTGGTCTAGTATGCACCCTGTGACCCCTTGAATTAGTGCTGCTATTTGTTTCCAGTATGGCTGGACTAGTGCGCATGTCCACCAGATGTGGAGCATAGTCCCTTCCTGTGTCTTGCATCTACAGCATCTGTCACTTATGTCTGGGTATATTTTCTTGAGCCGTGAAGGCACCATGTACCATCTATATATTAATTTGCGCGAGGTCTCGATGTGGGAAGCACAGGTTGTGAGTCCCTTGTGGTTTGTGTGGATGCATTGCCAGTCGTCTTGTGTGAGTGACCTGCCTATGTCCCTATGCCATTCTGTCTGGTATCTCCACTCCGTCTCGGTTTCACTCTCAGTGATTGTCTTATAGCACACAGACAGCGTCTTTTTAGTTGGGATTTGGTGTATGCACATCTTTTCGAAAGTGGTTAGGGTGGTGGGGTGTGCAGGTGGGGAGCTTTGTCTTGTGGCTTTGCCTATTAGTGCTTTCATCTGCCAGTATGAGAACGTGAGCTGTGGTGGTATGTTATATGTGGCTAGTATTTCTGGCAACTGGTGTAGTCCCTGCGGGGAGCTTATCTGGTGCAAGTGTGTGATACTGGAGGCCTTCCATGTTCTGTATGGGAATGTGCTATTGCAAAGATTTATTGAGTGTAGTGGCGTTGCCATAGACCATGGTTCTGCGGAGCATAGTTTGGACCTTTGACTGTCCCATATGCGGTACAGAAGTTTAGTGGTGGGTAGGGCGTTTGGCGGTGTGCGGCGCAGTTGTTTGGGTATCCACAGGGCCGCAGGGAGATCCGCGCCCCCGCTACAGCTAGCCTCTATCTCTATCCATTGGGGGGTGTATGTAGTGGAGTGCATGGCAATAATGTTGGCCGTTTGTGCAGCCTGGTGGTACGCCTTAAGATTCGGGAGGCCCAGGCCTCCGTCGTCTATTGGCTTCATGAGCAACGTTCTTGGGACCCTGGGGTGTCTTCCTCCCCAGCTAAATTTAATCAGGCTAGATTGGAGTCTGTGTAGAAATGACTGCGGTAGGGGTATTTGTAAAGAGCGGAGCAAATAGAGGATTTTCGGCAAGATTGTCATTTTGATGGCCGCTATTCTGCCTAACCAAGAAAGAAACTTGTTTTGCCATGAGTGCAATATGTGCTCCACTTCTTTGTGTAATTTAATGTAGTTGGCTACAAAGAGGTCGGTGTGTTTTTTGGTAAGTTTGATACCTAAGAAAGTCAAGAGGTCATTCCTCCAGTCATAGTGGAAATTGAGTCGGTACCTCTCTTCGTCAGTCTTGGGGGTATTTATGCACATGGCTTGTGTTTTAGTTAGGTTTAACTGGTAGTACGATTGCCTACTGTAGTCTTGGATTTCTCTGTGGAGATTTGGGAGAGAGATTGCTGGATTAGTTAGTGTGAGAAGGATATCGTCCGCAAACAGGTTTAGTTTGTATTCCTTGCCACCTATGGAAACCCCCTTGATATCTTGGTTGTTCCGGATCGCTATGGCTAGCGGTTCTAGGGCTAGCACGTAGAGTAGTGGGGAAAGAGGGCAGCCCTGCCTGGTGCCATTGGTGATTGGTAGGGGGGTGGAGCTAAACCCTGAATTCAGCACTGTTGCTGATGGGGTGCTATATAGTGCCTTCACCACGTTTAGAAAGGTAGGGGGGAAGCCATACCCTGTGAGCGCTTCTTGCAGGAATTGCCAGTTAAGCCGGTCAAACGCCTTTTCAGCGTCTAGGGATAGGAGTGTACTTTGTATTTTGGTTCTATTGAGGTAGTGGAGGATGCTTAACACCTTCCTTGAGTTGTCTGGGCCCTGTCTGCCGGACACAAATCCCACTTGGTCCGTTGATATCAGGTCAGGCAGGATTGTTTTGAGCCTTTCCGCGTATATTTTGGCGTATAATTTAGCATCCGCACTCAGTAGGGAAATCGGTCTAAAATTTGGGCATGAAGTGGGTGGTTTACCCGGTTTAGGTAGAGTGATAATGTGGGCTGCGAGGAATTCGGTCGGTAGGCTACCCTGTTTCGTAGCCAAATTAAAGGCTTGCGCTATGTATGGACTCAGGATGTGTTTGAATGTGTTGTAGTAGAGGTTGGTGAGGCCGTCTGGGCCGGGAGCCTTTCCCTTCGGCATCTTGTCTATTAGCTGTAATACTTCTTGAGTTGTGATGGGGTTAGTTAGGTGCGCTATTTGTTGTTCGTGGAGCTTGGGCAAGTCAAACCTGCGTAAATATTCTGTGATCGATTTTTGAGTGGGTTGTTGTACCTGGGGGTTGTCTTTTAGGTTATAGAGGGAACTGTAGTAAGACGCAAACTCATTGCAGATTTGTATGGGTTGGGTCAATTTTTGGCCTTGTGGTGAAAGCAGGTAGGGTATTTTTGTTTGGGCCTGTTTATCTCTAAGTCTCTGGGCCAGGGCTTTGCTTGCCTGATTGCCTAGGACAAATGTGTTGGCTTTCAGTTTTTTTAGTGCATAACTCGCTTTTTGGAAATTTGCTACATTAATCTGATTTTGCAAGTCCTTTATCTGTTTTTGCGTGTTCGCGGAGGGGGTGAGTATGTTGTCTCTGTGGAGGTCTTGCAGTTTTTTGAGATTTTGGGTATAAGTGAGGTTCTGCTGTTTTTTGAGGTGAGTGGCTCGTTTGATGAGAATACCTCTGATGACCGGTTTGTGGGCCATCCATAGTGTGAGGGCATTTATGTCCTGTGTATCGTTAGACTGGAAGTACGTGTGTAGGTCCTGTTCCAACGTCTGTACAAATTGGGGGTCGCCAAGGAGACGTTCATTTAACCTCCATGGGCCTCTGTTCTTATAGTTGTAGTGGTCTGCTAAGTGTAGTGTGACTGGGTTGTGGTCCGACCAGGGGGTTGTTCCGATCATACAGTCTATCACTCTATTCAGGTGTGCACTCTGAAGTAAGAACCCATCTATTCTTGAGTACGTGTTGTGCACCTGTGAATAATATGTATACTCCTTTCATTGCGGATGGAGCGTGCGCCATGCGTCGTATAGCCCATATGTGTTTAGGAGTTTGGTTAAGGCTTTGCACTGTCTGTGCAGTGTTTTGGCTCTCCTGGTTGTGTGTTTTGCTGAGGAGTCTAGTGTGGGGTCTTGGAACTGATTGTAGTCCCCACAGATGATCGTGGTGCCTGTTTGTAGTTGAGATGTGAGTTTTAGCAGATTACTGAGATATGTCCCCTGGTTTACGTTTGGTAGGTATGTATTAACTATGGTATAGGTGGAGCTGTTGATAGTGCAGATCAGTATAATGTACCTGCCTAGCGGGTCCTTCTTCACCATAATTTCTTCAAAGGCTAAGTGACGGCTGAGGAGGATAGAGACTCCCTTCTGTTTTGTGCGTGCGGTGGCATGGTATTGATGGGGGTACATTGTCTTCCCTAGAGTGGGAGTTGTATCTGCAGAGAAGTGGGTCTCTTGTAGACATATCACATCGGCTTGGTTGCCCCTAAGTTCCTTAAGGAGTGTGTGCCTTTTTTGTGGGGTATTTAACCCTCTGACATTATGGGTGTATATTTTTCATACTCTTTGTGGTTTAACTATGTGGCTTGGATTGTGGCCTCGTGCGGATGTTTGTAGGGTCGACTGTCTGTGTGTATAACGGTTGGCGCCTTGTGCGTGAGAGTGGTGGCAGGTCTTCTGAGGAATCGTGTATAGCTCTGGGGCTTAGGACCATAATTCGGTTGGGGGTGCCACATACTATTGGGGTGATTGTGCTTGGGCGTTGCCCTGTGGTAATGGTGTAGTGCAATGGCATAATCTGGTTGAGGACACACAACAAGTAAACAAAACTTGAACATTTTAAAACTTAAACTATAATTGAACACCACTATTGAGGTGTTCAAAATTTCCTGCTGAAGGTCGAGAGAGTGACCTTCTTGGGTTGGGGGTAGGTGGTCCGGTCTAACCA